TTTTTCGCTGTTATTGTTGTTTTTAATGCCGATGTACAAGTACTTGTGATAGCTTAGCCTTATCGGTGGTCTCCGCTTCCGCGTGCAAAATTTCGCAGCGCAAACTCGGAGCGCGGAAGAACGAATAATTTCTTGCGCAAACACCAGCCCATATCTCAACTCCTTCTAACGTCTTTTCCTTGCTGGATCCCTCTGGATTACAGAAAATGAAGAAAGACTCACCAGAGATAGCCGGTTATACCGTGCTCCCCGTTCAACTCCCCCCAACACCCGCATTCCCCAAACCAGCAACCCATTACCTCTACCTACGCCCTCACGAGCCTCGCATCCCAGATCCCGACTCCCCTCGCTCCCTCTTCATCGTCAACGCCCCCATCGACACAACCGAAACCCACCTCCGCCACCTCTTCGCCAAACAACTCTCCGCCGGCCGCGTCGAAAAAGTGCACTTCGAAAATGTCCCCACGAAAAAGAAGCACTCCCCCCCAACCCTCTCCGCCTCTAAGAACAACAAAAAACGCAAGCGCATCACAGCCGACGATCTCCAATCCCAACTCGAAGCCATCGACCTCCCCTCAACATGGGACCGCCATCTCCAGAAATCCGGCGCCCACGCCATCGTCATCTTCGCCGATAAACCCAGCATGGAAACTAGTCTGAAAGCAGCCTCAAAGGCGGCCAAAAAGGGCACCCAGATCGTCTGGGCCGAGGGTATCGAGGACCGCGTCGCCCCTCTCGGTCTCGCACGGTACTCAACCCACGAACAACTCCGGTATCCGGACCGCGCGACGCTCCTGCACACCGTGAACGACTTTATGGTTGTGTTTGGTGAGGTTGCAGAGGCAAGGAAGCGTGAGGAGGCGCGTAAGACGCAGATGCCTGACGACGATGGATTTGTTACTGTTGCTAGTGGGCCGAAATTGAACAATGTTGCGCAGCAGGAGGAGATGAGGGAGTTGGTTGAGAAGCAGAGGAAGAAGGAGGAGGGATTGGGTGACTTCTATCGTTTCCAGAGTCGCGAAAAGAGGAAGGAGAGGCAGAATCAGTTGTTGAGGAGGTTTGATGATGATAGGAGGAAGTTGAGTGAGATGAAGGAGCGGAGGGGGAAGATTCGGGTGAGTTTCTTTTCTTGGTTTCTTGGATTGAGATGCGGTTGCTAACTTGTTACATTTTTAGCCGGAATAATTTCTTTCTTGTTAAAAGTCGGTTTAGCCGGGCGTTATGGGTTGGCAACAAAAGTTATGGGCTCAGGGTGGATTGATTGTGAGTGTACTCTATCTTTCCTTTCTCTCCTGCTATGCACATGATGAGCACGCTGGGGCCAGAGTAGCAAGACTCGATCTATGATCAGATGTCATGCCATGCCTTCAAACACCAGCGATTCTATTTATCTTCTCACCTCTGAAGTGTTCATTCTATCACTTGTTTCGTCGGTTTTGTCTGGGACAATTGCTAACGCAAGTCTAGTGTCGATATGACAGGTTTAGTATAGAATTGAGAAGCATAGTTACTGCATGAAATACATATATAAACTACTTTTTTCAATTTCGTTCAATGCCATGTAGACATAGAATACTACAATACCGCGTACTCAATGCTCTATCAGTACTCCGCACAGACCACTTGGATCTCAGGCTTGGCGATGACATCTTCTCTTCTGCAACTCTACAGGTACTGGGGTACTTTGTACAAAACCACTTGCGCACGCCAGCTGGACATTTATGTTTGAATTGCAGGTTGTCAATTCTCAGCGACGGCACTTTTGGAATATATCTTTTGAATTTGCGCTGAGTGCTTCGAGGCAGCAGAAATCAGTTCTGCTTTCATCCAACACCCTCCGCATTCCACTCACAACTACAGCCACTTACACTACACTATACTCACCATTGACAGCTGACAATTGACACCCCGACAATGACCTCAACCGACTCAGCCGGCGGCTTCATCTACCCCTCCCTCCCCTCCCCCGCGCCCTCAACAATATCAACCTCAACCGCAACGCCCTCCCTCCTCCCACAACAACGCAGGCACCCGCTCAAAGCGGGGTCGATGAAGGAGACTGCTGTGATAAACCATCTGGACAAGAGTATTCTGGGGATAAACCGGCGGCATGCGAAGAAGTTTAGCAGTACTTATGGGGGCGGGGCGCCGAACGGAGAGGGTGAGGGTAAGGGTGAGGATGAGGTGGAGATGGAGGGTCAGGGTGAACGCGGATACGAGAGTTTCAAAGAAATGGTCAGGGATATCGAGAGCCTAGTCGATGTCGTCTGGGTTAGCGGCACACGTACGTCCCCTCCTCCCTCCCCCCTCCCATTTAACCAATTACGTCTAAATTAACAACCACACGCACACAGCAACCCTCCAAATCCCATACATAATCTCCCTCGCCGTCCTTGTGAACTCCAGTCTCCCCTCCTACCCCTTTACGCCCCAATCGACCTTCCGCCTCCTCCGCAAACTAGACTCCGTCTTCGCGTCGCTGTTAACAGGTGAAGACGCGGACTCGGGGACTCCGCTGGCGGGGTTTGAGACGAGGCGGGATATCGTCTCGATGACGGAGAAGGTGCGGATTAAGAGTATTGCGGAGGCGTGTCGGATGGTCGTTATGGAGGTGAGAGAGCGGAGTGACGAGACAACTGATGGGGATGGGGATGCTACGGGGGAAAGTGAGGTGGATAGTGAAGATGAGGAGATGGAAGATGTGATTGGGGATGCGAATGCGAATGCGACGAATGGGAATATCAATCCGATTGATGAGTATCATGAGACGCCTGGACGGTGGGAGATGGAGGCGGCGAGGGTGTATGAGAGGACGATTCAGTTGCTGGGGGATGAGTTGGGGAGGCAGGGGGAGTTCGGGGACGATATTGGGCAGCGAGAGATCACGCCTCCGTGTGCACCCAGTACAGCTCAATAACAACAAATATATCCAATAGACCATATTAAACTAAAGTGACAGCCCTAACTAAATTATAGACCAGAGTACCGGGTCGTCGACTACTGTAAGCTCCTGAAATGCAAAAAGCGACATCCGTAACGGCTGAAATTTTACAGGGCACCAGTGGATTCAATCTTTCAAAACGCCACGCGATGGGCCTCAGAATTTTAAGCGGATTGGGATCGGAAGCGCAGGGCGGATGGTGATTGGTGCTTGGGCGACGGTGATTGTAATTTCATCTGGCTGGCCTGTGTGGATCGCAGAGTAGTTACTTGTACAGTAAGTACGAGGTTGAGTCGATGTCGATGAGTCGATTGATGTACAATTGAGCAAAGTTTATTGTCCAGATACTATGGCCATACAGAACGAAGAAGTGGTGTATGTCCGTACTCTGGAGGACAGTAAAGCGCAGTGGCAATGCCCCTCTTGGGCAGACAGTGATCCGTGGTTCCAAGAAAAGCGATATTAATTGTATGTCATGCATCCACTGAAGAGTTTTCTTCTCCGGATTATTTTGCTTGTACGTACATACATAGTAGAGAGTACAGCATAGCATGCCAGGTACCTGCATTATATCACAGATCGAAGTAGTAACAAAAGTACTTGCTCAATGCAAGGAATTGTTTGTAGTACTCCGTACTCCGTATCGAGAGGAAAATAAGTACAGTATTCGGAGTAACTCCTTGCTCATTCTATGTATGTACATGTACGAGGTACTTGGTAGCGGCCACTGATTAAATACCACCGGGATGGATGAATGGATGGATCAAGCGCGCGTCGACGCGTCTGAGTTTTCTTTTCTTTTTTTCGTTTTCGTTTAACTTCAGTATCAGCTGGACAATGGTATAAGTTTTCATAAATACATGGCTGTGGCTTAGTGCTCGGTACAATTGCAGACAACGGCGTCTTTCAGGATCGAATACGAACCACCCCGGTTCGCAATGTCCGGCCAATCACGGACTGGCTACCAGAAATCCTACTCATGGCACCTTCCATGGTTCTGGTCTGTTTACTAGTACGTACATACTGTACCTGTACGTAGTACTTGTATCTGTGATGATATCTGTGACGTCGATGGAGATAAGGTCCGGTTGGATCAGGTGACATGTATTGCATCTGCAAGGTGTTCTTCACTACTCCTACTGATATGATACTGTCTGGCAGAGAGTACTACCACTACTCTGTATATCAAACAGGATTCACATTCCCTGTGGCAGCATCAAACTCGTGCGATACACGGTGTTCTCCGCGCGGCATAAAGAAGCCTGAGCCGAGCCGTGGCCGTGGATACGGGCTAGTATTCAGTATGAAGTAAGGTCGTTCTTTATTTTCTTTGTCCTCGCATCCCGTCAAGCAAGGATGGGTTCATATGAGTACTATGTATGAGAGGATCAAGTGACTATCCTGGATTACTGAAACTGCAGTAACTAACCTGCGTGTGTGTACTCCGTATTGAGGCTGAAACTGCCGCGGTCTGCATATGGTCACTTATTCCACTCTGTACTCTTCTGTACGGAGTACACTGTGAATATGGATATTTATGTCTAGTTTATAGTCCTGTTGAATAAGAAGAATAATAGCAGTTCTAGTACTCCGTACTCTATTGTCACTCTATTCATTAGGTACATTGAATCTTGCCGTGTCCCGTGCAGGTAATTTTGTAATTTGCGTAATACCTCATCTGCCGGTGCCCTATGTATGTAAGTGTATGGGTATTCTATTATTACCTTTTTTTTTTTTTTTTTCAGTCCCCTCCATTTGTTGAAGCATATCTGGAATTCTCTTTTTTTTTTTTTTTTTTTTCTCTTTCTTTCCTCCTCCTCTCTTCAATCTTCTTT